ACAGATCAGGGGGGCACACGCCCCCCCTGTGCCCTCCTGGGGAGCAAGCAGTGGCAGGAGCTGCTTCCCCCACCACGATCTGTGGCTCTGCCTCCCTTCCCCCCCACACCTGAGCAACACCTGCCCCCTCCCTCACCACGCAGGGCACTGATTTGCCCTCCCACGCTCCTTCCCTCACTCCTCCCCTTCTACCACACTGGACTTACCAGCTGCTGGCTGTGCTCCTCACTGCCTGAGTGATGTGTTGTGGCTGTGCGCAGCACAGGCATTTATTGGCCAAATTATCGGCCCCATCAGGCATACAGCCTGTTTTCTTTATATCGGTACCGATCTGATACTGGATCGATGTATCGGTGCACCTCTACAAAATACGTTATAATAGATGTTTGTTTTTTTAATATATGGTTTGTTTTTTTAATCTGGTTCCCAGATGGCAAAAGGAGTACTTCCAGGGATAAGGGGAGGGGACATCTGGTGGCAAAGGTCAGGGGTTAGAGATGGGAATTCCGGTCCCAAGATGGCAACCAGGGGGTGGGGCACCTGTCAAAGGGCTGGGCTACCTTATGGCCCTCAACAGCTCACCAAAAGTAGTTAAGCAACCCTCCAGCCTAAATAACTGCCCACCCCTGCTGTAAAAGGATTTCTGCTTCCAACCTGTCTCAAATCTTATGCATCTCAGTAGAGTTGCTGTTTCTGTTTTATCTGCTGTACCCAGTAGAAATGCGGAAGTCATTATAACGTAGACTTATCTTATCTTCTGGTAGTAAAATTCACCTGAAGGTGTCTGTTCTATCAGTTCTTGCAATATTAAGAGTAATTGTCAGCACTGGTGTCTTGTCTCTAATCCAGTTCCAGTGGTGTAGTCCATTTTTGTGCCCCTCTTGCTTCAGTAGGAAAATTCGTCCAGGAGTTCCTGATTCCTTGTTAAAGATATAACTAGACAAAAGTCAGAAGTGATTGTAGTGTTGAGATACCCAGGCTGGCTTCACACTATAACTTAGGGACTCAGGGCAGTTTGGCCACAGCAGCACTGAGTTCAGCTCAGGATAACTGATCTTGCATTAGTTAGAATGTCAGTACAAGGACAACAGCAGATCGAAACTGTAAAACAGATTTAAAAAAAAGTACAATTCGTTTTTTTAAACCTTTTTTATTATGCCTTTCTCTTTAAAATTTCCACAGATGTTGCTAACAAGTACTTCCGTCTTGCTGAGGTTCTTTACTACAAGGTATTGGAATCTGTTTTAGAGCAAGAGAGGAGAAGATTAGGAGACACCGACTTATCTGTAAGGAAAACTGATTATTGGTCCAACCGTTTACTTTTAAACTTCCTTTCAAAAAGCATCAATGAGTTGCACTATAGGTACTGATAGAAGTGACAATTTTTGTCTGCTCTGGCCATAAGAAGCAGTTTATAGTTGTGACCAAAAACAAGTACATGGCTTCAGAAATGGCTGATTGGGTGAAAATCAGATCCTTGGGATCAGATAAAGATGTTACAAAATGTAGAGTCTTTTGTCACTTGTGTCTGCAGAGCTCCCAGCCTGTCACTGTTTTTAGAATAGGAGGTGGGGAAAGGGAGCAGAGGGAGTTGAGTCCGGGAGTTTTTCAGCCCCACCCTGAGAGTGGGGTGGGGGTATTGGAGCCCCGCTGAGGTGGAGGCGCTCCAATTCACCCACCCCGCTCTTCAGCACCAGCCAAGGAGCCACAAGACCGAGATCCCTCCACTGCCTTTCCCCACTCCCATTCTGAAAACAGCAGGCACTGGCAGAGGCAAGGCTGTTGCTATGGGATCCTGGCTACAGGCTCCCAGCCTGCACCTAGACTCCCCACCCCCCTGGAACCAACAGTGAACTTCTGTTTGGTCTGGGGTAACGCTGTAACTCAGAATGCTTTGCAGAAATGTTTCTGAGTTACAGCAGGGAGCTGCACTTCTGTCGACACCCTAGGTAACAAATGCTACTGAACCACTGAAAATGAGGGCAGGACTCTGTCACAGTGTGAAAACTGACTCCATAAAAATGACAACTTTGGAGGATAATTCCACAATGAAATCTGTTGTGTGTGGCTCTAATATTTCTAACTGGCATTACATACATGGTTGTCCTGGAATCTGAAAATCAATCTGGATTCGGTTTTGCCTCATTACTTCTAGGAAAAGTTCCTTAAGCAGAATGGGAATGATGATTTTGTTAATGATACAAACGCAGAATATAACGTATTTTGTAGCTCAATGATTCTCAACCAGAATGTCACATCACTCTGGGGTGTCTAAAAATACTTTCAAAGGTGCCCTGAGATGCCATGCACTGTTAGGTGTGTAAATATGATTCACAAGATACATGCAGAGATTTGATCTTCAAATAAGAATCTGTGGTGTTAGTAATATTCTGCCCTGTTGTGGTCTTTTTGCATTCTTTGAAACAGAAAAACTGCTCTATTTTTCCGTAGTTGAAAAGCAAATGAAAACTTAATGGCTAGTATTTTCTGTGCAGTGTCTGGAGTCTAAATAGTTGAGATCTACTGTACCTAAAGCTTGTAAATCCATGTGAGAATAGGTAGTCAGACACTTGTTGTTGATTTAGGGTTTTTTAAAAAGTGTGATGCATGAAATGTTTCAGATTTAAAGAAAGGCTGATATATGTACATTTTCTAAACTATTCTAAAAGGTTTTTTTAAATATTTGTATTGTAGGCAATACTGGAGCAGGATGTATTTCACAGATCTCTCTTAGCATGTTGCCTTGAGATAATAACTTTTTCATACAAGCCACCTGGAAATTTCCCATTCATCACTGAAATGTTTGATGTGCCTGTTTATCACTTTTATAAGGTAAATGTGAAATTGCTAAAAATGATCGTGCAAAATCTACTTTCACTAGATAAATTGTCTTTTTTCTATATGCAACATGACTTTTTTCTCAGTTGAACATTTGATGATTTATAAATTTTAGAGTTAAAAAAACTTCTAAGAGATGACTGTTGTTTTCTGAAGTTTAAGCTTGAAAAATCAAATTATTTTGTCTCCTATCCCAAGCAGTTGGGTGTGCAAATGCCAGCATTATTTTCAAATTATGTACTTCTAACAGTATAGTGCATAGCAGTGTCCAAATTACTTAGTTAAGAAATACTGGTAGTAGACTACAGTATCATCGTGGGATAATGATCACTTTCAGCTTCATAGCTTGACCTGCCAACTTTGTCAATAAACACTTAAAGTAAACACGGTCCTCTGACGAAGTTGTAATACACAGTTGATTAACATAGGGTGAAATTTTCTATATAGATATGGGGAATTGCGCCAATGCTTACGTATGTGGTAGCATTGATCTTAAGTCTTTTCTGGTTTAGACTAAGACCGTTTTCTGTCAGGATGAATGTGTGACAGTGAAGTTTATTCAATTATAAATCCAGTTGAAAGGGAAAAAACTAATTGTATGCTCATCTCAATGTGTTGTTCATGCACCTGATAATTTGTTAGCTTCATGTTTATCCATTTCACAGGTAATAGAGGTGTTTATCAGAGCAGAAGATGGTCTTTGCCGAGAGGTGGTAAAACACCTTAATCACATTGAAGAGCAAATCTTGGAAAGCATGGCATGGAAATCTGAATCCCCATTGTGGGACAGAATCCGAGATAACGAAAATAGCGTTCCTACTTGTGAGGAGGTGAGAACTTACTATGCTAAGGTGTTATATGCTTATAGTTATGTAACATTTTTAACTCAGCTGGAGCCTCCTCCAGTTCAGATAGCAATCCAGGAGCACTTTAGGCATTGAGACTTTACCTGTCCAAATTGCCTAAAGTGAAGTTGAGCGATTATTTCCTGAAGTGTTAAAAATAATGGAATTGAGGCTATGTCTTGATTAGAATGGATACCAGAGATACGTATTTTGGAACATTTGATAATACTTCAAATACAGGCATGTCGCATCTTATGCAGGGGTTAGGTTCTGAGGTCAGCGCGTAAGGCGAAAATCACATATAGTCAAATCGCCAGCGATTTGACTAGCGGTGACTGCCTCTGCCTCCAAAACCTCCCGCCGCCACCATGGAGCCGTGCTTGGAGCTGCCCCCTGCCAAACCCTCCGGCCGCTACCGCAAACTCAAGCCCCGCCCCCCCACCCTGCATATAGTTGAATTCGCGCAAGTTAAATGTGCGTATGACGCAACTGTACTGTACAAGGTAATATTCCTACGTTCTGTTCCAAGGATTGTAAGACCTGTTCTCATTGTAAGAGAGGCTATTGTGGAGTGTTATTTTTTTGTGCAGCACCTATTCAGAAGGTACTATCTGTCTCCCAAAATTCTGTGCTGAGATAAAATCCTGGCCTAGTTGACCCTGCTGGGTGTTTTTACCATTTAATTTGATTAAGCTAGTTTTTCTCTCTCCCCCTTGCTTTTCTTGGTTATTTCCCTTCTCCAAAATCTTATTCTTTGGAATTGGAAATAATGATAAATTAGACTCAAGCACCTAATTTCAGGGTGCATGAGCTTCTGAACAGAAATAGAAATGAGAAGGATCATTAGATAAGTAATAAAATGAATTAAAGCATATTTGTTTAATCTATGGTAAGACACATTATAGAACCTACTAATTAAAGTTACCATTTCAGGTAATGCCACCTCAATATTTTGAAAGGTCTAATGGGAACAGTGTGATAGGCTCTCCTTTGACACCAAGAAGGATAAATGAAGTTCGTGCTGAAACTGCAGGACTTGGGAAAGGTGAGATCTTAAACATAAACACGTGTCTGCTGTAAAAATAAAGTTTGCACTGAGTTGCATGCAATTATTAGACAGGCTATTGACTAGTTGCAGAAAGATGTAACTGAATACCTGTGGAGTCGAAATGTAGATGCAAACAAGCAAATTGCACTAGGAGTATTTACAATTTTTATTTGAATAATTTATTTCATTATATTACCTAGTACAAAGGAGTTTACTTGTAAATTATCATGGCAATCCATGTATTACAGCAAAACATTGATTATGTTGGTTAATAAATTCAGCTGCCCCATTCTGCTATTATGTCAAGTGAGCTATATGGCAGTGGGTATTAATAACCTTAAGTAGTTCAACAACTAAGAAATCTTGAAATATGAGCAATGGGAAATATTAGTAAGATAATTGCAAGAAGGAAGCAAGCTTTTTTTAATATTGCTTACTCAAGACACTTGTTAATAATCCCCACATAACCTAAGCCGTTTGCTTTATCACCACACTGAAATGGCAGCCTCATATAATTTTTTGTAGGCACACAGCTGCATGGGACAGATATCTTTAACAAAGTAAGGCGTTCCAAGTTTCTCCAGTGAAGTGTGTTTTAACATAGCCAGATCAGCTTTACTTGGACAAGGTTCCTGTCATAGTCCTGCAATAAAAACATAGCATTTGAGAAGGAAGTATAAGTAGGCGATGTTCATAAATACCTCTAAGCCAGAAATTTGACTCCAGAGAATGCATATAAATATTGGTAAAGCTGTTTCCAACATTTTGTTTTTATGTAGATAGATGGTTTTTTATAACACATAACCATAACGGCTTCAGCATTACTAAGCAGTAAGTTATGTGTTAAATGTTGGGCTTTTCCTCCCCTGCCTCTCCTCAGGTCTTTCCTCTTCTCCTACCACATTGTATGACAGATACAGTTCCCCTACTGCCAACCCTACTAGGAGAAGACTGTTTGTTGATGGTGATAATACCTCTGACAGTGGAACCCCTGTAAGAGTTTCTCAGCAACCTGTGGTGAATACTGTGCCAGTGCAGAATGTGACACCTGAAACCATGTCAGTGACTCCAGTGCCTGGACAGACATTGGTTACAGTGGCAACTGCTACTGTAACAGCCAATAATGGGCAAACTGTTACAATACCCGTACAAGGTAAGTGGGAGACTTTGGGAGATTGTACTGTGCAGAATCAGGCGGATTTGACAGTTACATCATAAAACCACTATCTATATAATTTGATATTGATGTAGGTGTTGTTTATCTACCCTTACATATCAAATAGAGAAACAAGAATGACACTACCTTCCAGTGCTTATTTATGGAAATAATTGGTTTAATTAGCCTCTTCTCCCTCATAACTCCTAAAATGAGGAGGGAAAGTTGCAAGCAGTAGCCAGCTCCCAAAGGGTTTTTGCTTGAACACTAATAGTTTTCTGGTACTTGTACTAATATTCTAAAAGTGCATTTCAGTATTGCTCAGAAAACCTGACTGCAATTCTTTAAGACATTTTACTGTATTTTTCCCCCCATTACAGGCATTGCCAATGAAAATGGAGGAATAACTTTCTTCCCAGTTCAGGTGAATGTAGGTAGCCAGGCTCAGGCTGTGTCTGGTTCCATCCAGCCTCTCAGTGCTCAGACCCTTGCTGGTACCCTTAATACCCAGGTGTCTGGGACAGCCTTGCAGTTACCAGGCCAAGTTTCAGTTCAACAGATTGCTTCTCCTGGTGAGCAAAGACAGAACCAGCAGTTTACAACCAGCAGTGGAATTAGACCCAGGAAGACTGGATCGTTGTCTCTCTTCTTTAGAAAGGTACCCTCCACTATGAAAAGTTGTCGTCTAAGTGCCAATAGAGTTTTGTTAAACATACAGTGCTCTCAGAACTGTTCTTAAGTGTTTAGTTTAGTAGCAGACTATATTTTATATTTCATATTAAAATATAAATTTTTTAAAACATTTACTTACCTGTCATGTCTGTAGTTCAGAGTACTTGTTTCCTGTGAGAGCTGATGACATTATGGATACTTAACCCACAGCATTTTTTTGCATTGGCTTAAATATGTTAGTTATTATGAGTGGGGAAAGGAAAAAGTTGTGACCTCACAATGGCAAGAGGGAAAAAAAAAGTCTTTCAAAATGGTGTTTTGTTTTCTACATACTATTGGCGTGGCTTTAAAAAAATAAGTAAGGCAAGCCACACAACACTTGTTTTCTTTCTGGCTAAAATTAGTGCAGCTTATAAATTGTGCAGTGAGAAGGAAGACTAACATTCAGTAAGTTTTAGAGAACTACAGTCAGCTTGTTCTTGCATCAAAGCAGCAATATTGTCTTTGCCCTAAACAATGCTACAAGTAACCTTGTTCTGGCTTCCAATAGGTATACCACTTAGCAAGTGTTCGTCTGCGGGACCTGTGTGTCAAACTGGACATTTCTGAGGAGCTGAGGAAAAAAATCTGGACCTGTTTTGAGTTTTCCTTGGTGCACTGTCCTGAGTTCATGAAAGACAGGCATTTAGACCAGTTGTTGATGTGTGCCATTTATGTCATGGCTAAGGTAACATGATTAAACAGCAAATACTACCTTACGTTACTTTAACAATAAGAAGGATGCAAGAGCTGCATTATCCCCCCCAAAAAACTTCGTTATCTCTTTAGGTCACAAAGGAAGATAAATCATTTCAGAACATCATGCGCTGCTACAGGACTCAGCCACAAGCTAGAAGTCATGTAAGTTTCAGAGCAAAATAGTGCAGTCTCTCCCCCTCTTATGAAGTCTCTCAGTTGCCACAGCCTGAGAGATCTAAAAGCTGCCATTTGTGGCATGGCAAATCTAAACTCCACTGGACAAGGATTTAACATTCAAAATAGCGTGTGTGTCCTGTTATTGTTCCAAAATTAAACTGTGAAACCAACTTGTTATAACACAGGTTGCTGACTCATACCTACTCATAAGTCTTAAAGGAGTTCTTGATTAGCTGCATTATACGATTAATAAAATTACTCCAGTCTGGTGTGTGCACTCACTTAAAAAAAACACCAAAGGTACAATACTCCTATGCTGACACTATACTCCTTTTCTCTTTAAGAAAGAAAAAAATAGCTGAAATTTTCTCCTATATGGATGCAAACTGAGGGTAGTTCAGTGCTGTTCCACTTGTTAGTTTTGTTTATTTTTTTAAATCCAACACCAAAGGCTGTGTTCACACATTCAGGACAACTCTCCCAGATTTGTTTTCTTAAGAGAAAAACTGATCTGTACAGAAGTTCAGCCAGAAAGGTGAAAAGGGAAAAAAAGCAAAGTGGGAAAAAGGGAAGGTGGGGCAGGGTCTGTCAAAAAGAGTAAGTAGTTCAGGCTTTCGCCTCCCCTGTGGTGTGTTGGAGCATAGCTAAGGCTGGGCACAGAGCGTTATGCTTGTATGCTTCCCTGCACCCAGGTATGGTCACTTATACTCGGAGAAAAATTTTGAACGTGTAGATGCGTGGTTTTTCCTAAGAGAGTGAGGAACCTTCCTGGAGAAATTGAACATCTGTCCAAGCCCTAAGCCAGTTGCAAAGTGGAACTAGCTTGCATGTCTACACTGCAATTACAGTGCAAGAATAAACTGGAGCCTGGAGTTGTGGGGGTAGGCTGCCAGTCTGGGGCTGCTTCTCCCAGCTCAACATGCTGTGGAACAGCCAGCTCACAGTGCAGGGCTAGCTAGCAGGCAGCCCCCACAGTGAAGCACCCTCGTGTCCCAGTCAGCTGGAGCAGTGTCTACATGAGCTCTGCTGCAGTTTTTTACTCCACAGCAGGATAGTACTTGTACTTACTATCCTACCGCGAATTAGTTTACTTCAACTTAATAGGGGTGCACATGTAGATGCCGAGACATCGGCTAATTAGCTGAGCAGTAAAGGTCTTGTGTAGATACGCCCACTGGTGCATAAAACATTTTGTCTCTTGAATACATAGCTGCTCTCCTCTAACAGTCCTTCTTTCAATTTATTTTCCATTCTGTCATCTACAGGTATATCGGAGCGTGCTGATAAAAGGTAGAAGACGCCGCCGTTCCGGAAGCAGCGATAGCAGTAGTCAACAGAATTCCCCAACAGAGAAAAGTAAAGACAAAAGTAAGCAATTCCAAATGATGACTTGTATGTGAGAACTGGGGAAAGGAAATGGTGCTTAGTTTCAAAGAGGAGTATTTATACTTTGTCGCTTGAGTAATCACATTAGGTATAGCTGATAGTCCTGTAGGCAAAAGGTTTTTATTCTGGGGCAACTGTAAGTATTTTACATTTTAAAATAGACCATATATAGTAAGGTTTACTTGCAGGAAACTGTGCAGGTACCACAAATTTTAACTTCAAGTAAATTAATGTTAGATTTGCCTTAAACTTTGAGTGTCAGGCAGGGGGGGTGTTAGGGAAAAGGTTTTGGGGAGGGGGCTATAGCCACCCCAAAATTTGCCTTAGCCCCCCGTAGCTACCTCTCCCAGTGCTACCCACCCCAGGCTGCTGCCTGCCTTGCACAGCTGAACCCACCTTGCTCCTGCCTGCAGCCTGCCTCAGCCCCCCCACCAGGAAGAGGCTGGCACCACCCCTGCTGTCAGCACAGTAACTCACTCTAAAAGATAGCTACAAGGATAAAGGCCTTGACCACCTGTCATGAGAACTGAGACATTTTGAAAGAATTGCTGCTTCCAACCTAGCTGGCATATGATCTTTTATTTCTAACTTGCACTCTGGCCAGTATCAGATATGCTGTTCCTCAGAAAGAAGCTTTCTCTATAAAGTAAACCATTTCTGGACACACTTGATACCAAACCTGCTTGTGTGCAGGATACCTTAAGTAGTGGGAGTGAAAATACAACAGGCTTTTATTTTTCCTTCTTTATCAGTCTCTAGAAGAGAACTAAGGTTTAGCTGGAAATGCTCCTTGGGAAGAGTCTGGCTTGCCTCAGAAATAAAACAGGACACGCCAAACCTAAATTTCTTTTGAACAGCTTTTTAGTATGTGTCCTTAATGAAGACATTATTTCAGAGCCTTCACTTGTCCTCAGATATGTGAAGTTATAATTTCCATCTAAATCAGGCAGAATCTCACTCAGAAAGAAGAGCAATTGCCACAAAGGCTGTGGGTGGGATACTGGCAGCAAAATCTGTCTTGTGTGTGAAACTGTGGATTTACCATTTGTGTAGCTGAAATAACTACTAAGTATTTTTAATGCAATTTAAAATTTAAAAAGTAACTGAAGCTGAAGCAAAATTGAACTGTTAAGTAGCCATAGTCAAATAAGGGCGTTATGTTGCTCTTCCCTCTCCAGCCAGCAGAGACTCTAGCCCTGTCATGAGGTCCAGCAGCACACTGCCAGTCCCACAGCCAAGCAGCGCACCCCCTACTCCTACCCGGCTCACAGGTGCAAATAGTGACATTGAGGAAGAAGAGAGAGGCGACCTTATTCAGTTCTATAACAATATCTATATTGACCAAATTAAAAACTTTGTCCTAAAGTACTCTTCAACCACAGTAAGTTATTTTAATTCCTTTTGTTAAGAAATAAAAGTTTTTGTTGCACGAGTTTCATCAATGCTCCAGTTCTGTCAGGGTTCCTGTATGCCAGGGGCGGGCAAAATAGAGCCTACAGGCCAGATGTGGCCCA